GGTGTACAGATTCCTGAGCCTACTGGGCTCTATCATATCTACATTTAAAACTGTGTATGAAGTCAGCCTCCACCACATCACTGCCTAATGCATTCCATCCGTTAACTACTCTGGCACTGAAAAAGTTTCTTCTAACGTCTCTGTGGCTCATGTGGGTACTCAGTTTCCACCTGTGTCCCCTTGTTCGCGTCCCACCAGTGTTGAATAGTTTATCCTTGTTTACCCGGTCGATTCCTCTGAGGATTTTGTAGGTTGTGATCATGTCTCCCCTTACTCTTCTGTCTTCCAGTGTCGTAAGGTGCATTTCCCGCAGCCTTTCCTCGTAACTCATGCCTCTTAGTTCTGGGACTAGTCTAGTGGCATACCTTTGGACTTTTTCCAGCTTCGTTTTGTGCTTGACAAGGTACGGGCTCCATGCTGGGACCGCATACTCCAGGATTGGTCTTACATATGTGGTATACAAGATTCTGAATGATTCCTTACACAGGTTCCTGAACGCTGTTCTGATGTTAGCCAGCCTCGCATATGCCGCAGACGTTATTCATTTAATGTGGGCTTCAGGAGACAGGTTTGGTGTGATATCAACTCCTAGATCTTTCTCTCTGTTCGTTTCATTAAGTACTTCATCTCCTATTCTGTATCCTGTGTCTGGCCTCCTATTTCCACTGCCTAGTTTCATTACTTTGCATTTACTCGGGTTGAACTTCAACAGCCATTTGTTGGATCATTCACTCAGTCTATCTAGGTCATCTTGTAGCCTCCTACTATCGTCCTCAGTTTCAATCCTCCTCATAATTTTTGCATCATCGACAAACATTGAGAGAAACGATTCTATACCCTCTGGGAGATCATTTACATATATCAGAAACAGTATAGGTCCAAGGACTGACCCCTGCGGGACTCCACTCGTAACGTCTCGCCAATCTGAGACCTCACCCCTCACACTGACTCGTTGTCTCCTGTTGCTTAGGTATTCCTGTATCCAACGGAGTACCTTCCCTTTCACTCCAGCCTGCATCTCCAGCTTTTTCACTAGCCTCTTGTGTGGTATTGTATCAAAGACTTTCTGACAATCCAAAAATATGCAGTCTGCCCACCCTGATTGGTCTGAGTGCCAGTCTTTAAGAATTATCGGCTTCTGGAGAGACTGTAAAAGAGACAGGAGAGGGAGGAGGAGAGAGAACCAGTTACATATATACAAACACTTTCAGTCAGAAATATATTGCATCTCTTCAGCATGAACAACTAGTTGCACTGAACGATGTATGATGCGAACTAAAAAAAAACATCAGAGAGATGTATTTATTTGTCACACTTGATGTATTGTAATTTGCGTTACGTGGTAATTTGCTTCCCGTCGAGCTTGTGGCTCTTGCCCCCAGGTGGCGTGTTGTTGGTTCCCCGACTACCGTGATGGTCTCCGCAGCCACCGTGATGGTCTCCGCAGCCACGGTAATGGTCTCTGCAGTCACCGTGATGGTCTCCGCAGCCACCGTGATGGTCTCCGCAGCCACCGTGATGGTCTCCGCAGCCACCGTGATGGTCTCCGCAGCCACCGTGATGGTCTCCGCAGCCACTGTGATGGTCTCCACAGCCACCGTGATGGTCTCCGCAGCCACCGTGATGGTCTCCACAGCCACCGTGATGGTCTCCGCAGCCACCGTGATGGTCTCCGCAGCCACCGTGATGGTCTCCGCAGCCACCGTGATGGTCTTCGCAGCCACCGTGATGGTCTCCGCAGCCACCGTGATGTTCTCCGCAGCCACTGTGATGGTCTCCGCAGCCACCGTGATGGTCTCCGCAGCCACCGTGATGGTCTCCGCAGCCACCGTGATGGTCTTCGCAGCCACCGTGATGGTCTCCGCAGCCACCGTGATGGTCTCCGCAGCCACTGTGATGGTCTCCGCAGCCACCGTGGTCTCCGCAGCCACTGTGATGGTCTCCGCAGCCACCGTGATGGTCTCCACAGCCACCGTGATGTTCTCCGCAGCCACCGTGATGTTCTCCGCAGCCACCGTGATGGTCTCCGCAGCCACCGTGATGGTCTCCGCAGGCATGGTGATGGTCTCCGCAGCTACGGTAATGGTCTCCGCAGCCACGGTGGTCTCCGCAGCCACCGTGATGGTCTCCGCAGCCACCGTGATGGTCTCCGCAGCCACCGTGATGGTCTCCGCAGCCACCGTGATGGTCTCCGCAGCCACCGTGATGGTCTCCGCAGCCACCGTGATGGTCTCCGCAGCCACCGTGATGGTCTCCGCAGCCACCGTGATGGTCTCCGCAGCCACCGTGATGGTCTCCGCAGCCACCGTGATGGTCTCCGCAGCCACCGTGATGGTCTCCGCAGCCACCGTGATGGTCTCTGCAGCCACCGTGATGGTCTCCACAGCCATGGTGATGGTCTCCGCAGTCACCGTGATGGTCTCCGCAGCCACTGTGATGGTCTCCGCAGCCACCGTGAAGGTCTCCGCAGCCACCGTGATGGTCTCTGCAGCCACCGTGATGGTCTCCGCAGCCATCGTGATGGTCTCCCCAGCCACCGTGATGGTGTTCGCAGCCACCGTGATGGTCTCCACAGCCACCGTGATGGTCTCCGCAGCCACCGTGATGGTCTCCGCAGCCACCGTGATGGTCTCCGCAGCCACCGTGATGGTCTCCGCAGCCATGGTGATGGTCTCCGCAGTCACCGTGATGGTCTCCGCAGCCACCGTGATGGTCTCCGCAGCCACCGTGATAGTCTGCGCAGCCGCCGTGATGGTCTCCGCAGCCACCGTAATGGTGTTCCCAGCCATCGTGATGGTCTCCGCAGCCACCGTGATGGTCTCCGCAGCCACTGTGATGGTGTTTGCAGCCACCGTGATGGTGTTTGCAGCCACCGTGATGGTCTCCGCAGCCACCGTGATGGTCTCGACATCACCGTGATGGTCTCCGCAGCCACAGTGATGGTCTCGACATCACCGTGATGGTCTCCGCAGCCACCGTGATAGTCTCCGCAGCAACCGTAATGGTCTCCACAGCCACCGTGATGGACTCCGCAGCCACCGTGACGGTCTCCGCAGCCACCGTGATGGTCTCCGCAGCCACAGTGATAGTCTCTACCCCAGTCACAATAACGGTCTCCACACTCACCGTGACAGTCTCCCGGGTTGCATACAAGCTGGAGACCAGAAGAAACCTTTTGGAACTGATGTTGATGTAACCACAACATTCCCACATAACGTTGTGGGAACGTTACTAATGGGGTAGGAACGTTATTAATACAAAAGAAATCACACTAATATGATATATATCAATAAAAAAATATAATGGAGCAATGAGGTGACTCAAACCATCGACCTGGAGACTATACCAGCCGTACACCTGTGAGATTCAGTGGAATCCTATGTTGTATAACTTATATTATGTCTTGTATAACTTATATCTTGTTGTGGTACTAGGGTAGTAAGGTGTTCAGCTGTGAGTACCCAACTCTGATTCGAGTCACTGCATTGCTCCAATAGATTTGCTAAACGTTCTTTATGTTGTGGGAATGTTACTAATGTTGTGAGAACATTATCATTGCTTTAGGAACGTTACTAATGTTGTGGGAATGTTACTAATGTTGTGAGAACATTATCATTGCTTTAGGAACGTTCTTAATGTTGTGGGAATGTTACTAATGTTGTGAGAACATTATCATTGCTTTAGGAACGTTCTTAATGTTGTGGGAATGTTACTAATGTTGTGGGAACATTATTAGAGTTCTTTGAATGTTAAAAACAATAGCAATTAGTGAAGCATTTTCTTATGGGAGACATTGTAGGACACAATCACAATCCACTGACAAATGAATAAGCATTCGAAACTCTATTAAACGTTAAAAACTTTAGTTCAACGTTAATAAAAAGTTAAGAACGTTAATCCAGCATTGATTAAACGTTGAAAACGCTAATCTAACGTTGATTAAACATTGAAAACGTTAACCTACCATTTATATGATCAATATAGCAATGTTTAGACGTTAAAAAACATTAATCTAACAGTTCTTAAATGTTGAGAAACTCGATCCAACGTTGACTAAATGTTACTGGATCATATTTTGCCCACTGGGCTCGTAATTGTGAATTGTGCTCGTAATAGTGCACTCCAGCTCATCTAATTGTGTGCACTTATATCGACAATCGCCTCCATCAGGCACAAGAGAATGTGTTGTCACTTCTGTTCGCGAGAAATCGCTTAGTCTGGTTTATAGAGCGATTATCGTCATTAAAAAATACCTCACACCATTACTTTCGTTAGTAGTGGTTAGAGTTAGCAAACAAAATTGAAGTTGTTTAGTATAAATTGTATAACTTAGTAAAACAAACTTCACGATTTATACCTGAAGTTATAATTGTGATTTCTGTGTGTAATGAAGAGGTAGAACAGCTTGTTAGCAGAGCCCGAGTGCATGGGGGGAATTGTATAAAACTCTGGTTTGTGTCTCGGAGAGGCTGCACGATCTGTGTATATTCAGTGGAATTCCCGGTTGTAATTCTTTTACCATGTCGTGGCCTAGTCGACTAAGGCAGCGTTTAGGATCATCTCGGGTGTAAGTTCGAGCCCTTATCATGGCCCTTGTGGATTTGTTCATGATTTATCATTGCCAGACGACCTCAAAATAAGTTTTTGCCAAGTGACAACAAATTATTTTTTTTCTATGACTGTAATTAACCCCCCCTGTTCGCTCCAGCCCCAACTGTAATAATTTTTGTAGCTTTTAATCTAAATCTAGATCAAATAGCAGATAATTATAATGATTACAAGCCGCCGACTTCCTGTCCTCGTCGAGACCAATAGAGAGACATTACGGCCCTCAGGTAAATACTGTCATTATGACTTTCTTTTAGTTTGCACATAATTACAGTACATTATTTACCTCATTTATAAATTCAATCACTTATGAATCAAGTTTCTGAATTTTATTTGAGTTCATCAATAAGTCAATACAACACATCGATTCGTAATCCTTATAAAGTGACAGAAAACAGGAGAGACTTTTCCCACACACATATGATAATAAACCCATGGAACCGCCTACCCGCCGAAGCCCTGATTGTTGTTGTTAAGATTCGCTACTTGGAACAAAAAGTTCCAAGTAGCACGGGCTATGGTGAGCCCGTAGAAGCCCTGAATAACAAGATAATAATTCAGTTTAAAGTTCTGCTGGGAAAAAAACTCAGGAACATTGAAGGGTATCTTTGAAAAGCCTTCGAGGCCGCTAGAGAAGTCAGTCCTCAGGTAAATTTAGGTAAATATGCAAACTTTTATCCACCTCTGAGACCATCAAAGCAAAGAATTTTCATGAACTTAAACTTGAAGATTAGAGCAGCTAAACAAATATTTCAAACAAAAACAAAGTTTATTATGCATCAATACAGGTTCCATTTTAATCCTGTGTGTACTCACCTATTTGTGCTTGAGGGGGTTGAGCTTGGCTCTTTGGTCCCGCCTCTCAACTGTCAATCAACTGGTGTATGTGTGTGTGTGTGTGTGTGTGTGTTGGTGTACTCACCTAGTTGTGTTTGCGGGGGTTGAGCTTTGGCTCTTTGGTCCCGCCTCTCAACTGTCAATCAACTGGTGTACAGATTCCTGAGCCTACTGGGCTCTATCATATCTACACTTGAAACTGTGTATGGAGTCAGCCTCCACCACAATACTACTTAATGCATTCTATATGTTAACTACTCTGACACTGAAAAAATTCTTTCTGACGTCTCTATGGCTCATCTGGGTACTAAGTTTCCACCTGTGTCCCCTTGTTCGTGTCCCACCAGTGCTGAAGAGTTTGTCTTTGTCGACCCTGTCAATTCCTCTGAGAATTTTGTAGGTGGTTATCATGTCTCTCCTTACTCTTCTGTTTTCTAAGGTTGTGAGCTTCAGCTCCCTTTACCTTTCCTCGTAGCTCATTCCTCTTAGTTCCGGGACCAGTCTGGTGGCATACCTTTGAATCTTCTATAACTTCATCTTGTGTTTAACTAGGTATGGACTCCAGGCTGGAGCTGTATACTCCAGGATTGGTCTTACATAAGTAGTATACAGGGTCCTGAACGATTCCTTGCACAAGTTTCTAAAGGCAGTTCTTATATTGGCCAGTCTAGCATATGCCGCTGATGATATTCTTTTGACGTGGGCCTCTGGGGACAGGTTCGGTGTGATATCAACCCCCAGATCTTTCTCTATTTGACTCTTGCAGGATTTCACCTCCCAGATGATACCTTGTGTTCAACCTTCTGCTCCCTTCGCCTAATTTCATTACTTTACACTTCCCTGAGTTGAACTTTAGCAGCCATTTTCTAGACCTTTCCTCCAGTTGGTCCAAATCGTCCTGTAGTCTCTGTCTGATCCATCTGTTTTGATTCTTCTCATAATTTTGACATCATCAGCAAACATTGAGAGGAATGTGTGTGTTTAAAGCCAGGGGTTTTACAGTCGACCCGATCACATGGTAAGGTTACCTTGACCTTGAGGTGCTTCCGGGGCTTAGCGTCCCCGCGGCCCGGTCGTCGACCAGGCCTCCTGGTTGCTGGATTGGTCAGCCAGGCTGTTGGACGCAGCTGCTCGCAGCCTGACGTATGAATCACAGCCTGATTGATCAGGTATCCTTTGGAGGGTGCTTGTCCAGTTCTCTCTTGAACACTGTGAGGGATCGGCCAGTTATGCCCCTTATGTGTAGCGGAAGCGTGTTGAACAGTCTCGGGCCTCTGATGTTGATAGAGTTCTCTCTCAGAGTACCTGTTGCACCTCTGCTTTTCAACGGGGTATTCTGCACTCTTATTCACACTGGTGTTCACACTTTTACCCACCACCCCCCACCCCACCCCCAACTAAGCCCTGGGTTGGGCTCCGGTTGTGGGCCTCCAGAACCTCCCATAAAAATCAGTAGAGTTCCGGGTTGGTCGTCTTCTGTACCATCGTGGCCGAGTCGGTTAGGGCAGGTGTCTGGGATCCACCAGAATGCAGGGTCCAGTCACTTAATTGCCTCAAAATTATTCTCATATGCATTAGAATATTACAACACTGTAATCATTGCACTGTTTTCCGAACTGTGAAGCTCTCAATAGTTTGCATTTGATCACTTCAGACTACCTTCTTCCCCTAATCTTTCACCGAGCAGAAGACCAACAAAGGAAAGCAAGAGAAATTATCAGAAGAAAAGCATTAAACCAGTATGACTATTGGGACATATCCCAAACTTCGAAGGGTTATGAGGACAAGGAGCTGGGATATGAGGACAAGGAGCTGGGATATGAGGACAAGGAGCTGGGATATGAGGACAAGGAGCTGGGATATGAGGACAAGGAGCCGGGTTATGAGGACAAGGAGCCGGGTTATGAGGACAAGGAGCTGGGATATGAGGACAAGGAGCTGGAATATGAAGACAAGGAGCTGGGATATGAGGACAAGGAGCTGGGATATGAGGACAAGGAGTTGGAATATGAGGACAAGGAGCTGGGATATTAGGACAAGTAGCTGGGACATGAG